TACTGATCTCCCGGCTGTATTGTGGAACCAAACAGAGTAACAGGGAAGAAGGAAAAAAAAAAAAAAAACCTCTTCCTTTAAAAGTCAGAGGACCGGCACAACTTCACCTTTTAAAAGAATTCTGGAGAGCTGCAGTTTGAATGGCAAAAATATAGGAAACGAGAAGGCTGATGCCTTAACATGTTCTCTTCTTGTACTTGGAGAGGATTAACACGCTTTATTTGACAGCTAAATTACATTAGGGCAAATATACTGATAGTCATCTTCAGTTGGTGCTAAGTGGCTCATTTCTTGGAGGTATTGCCTGGTGAAATCATGTGTATTTACTGAGAATCTCTCTTTACAAAGTTCTCTACGTTTCCAAACAGAGAATGATGGAAAAAATGGGTGTCGCTGCTGAGAAGGTGCTAACAGGAGGCAGGCAGCATGTTTTCGCATCTTCACCTCTGCTGTTAATGTATGCAGTGGCTCATCAGAGGTAGCTCATGTTAATTTATTCCTGCACACCTGTACAGGGCTGGAAGTCAGGTAATCAGACAAGCAAAAACTATACATCTCTGCTCTTTAGGTACAGCTACCCAGAGGCCTATAGAGGAACAAATTTAGTTCTGGAGACATCAGCAGGTTTTAATAAACCAAATACAGATATCTTATTCCACACAAATCAAGGGGTTTACAGGTTTAAATCTGGACAGATTTAACTAGCCATCAAAGAGAAGGTTCACCCTTGGCACCAACAGTTGCCTCATATTTATTTATAAATCACCCTGACCAAATATTATTTTGTTTTTAAATCTATTCATGGGGCTGAATCGCCTTTCCTACACCTTGAAGATCAACCATATGTGCTGACCCTTCTGATAAAATTCAAGATAAACTGTGGCAATTAGTGGCCACTATTCTCGGAGGAAGAGAGGAACAAAGATGCAGACCATCTAGTTTCTGTGGACGACGTCTTCGTTATAGCCGCCAATGTAAAATCTATTTATGTCTGTTTTAGTGATCGGCATTAAATAGATTTTTATCATATTAGCAAATGATAAGGAATTTGGGGGAGGAGGACAGAAGGGTTTTTATTTTTCTGAATAAAAACCAAATGTAATTTATAAATGGGGTTGATCCATGGCCAGTCGGCCCTCCTGGGGATCAAAAAACATGACAGAGGATGAGAAATGACCAAAGGAAGCCAGGCCCAGCCAATTCTATGACACTATCTTCAAGAAAATGTCCTGTATGAAGACTGTAGGTTCTAGGCCAGTTGGAATGTCTTCTTCCCAGGGAGTATTTTCATATGTTTACTTCAAAACCCAGGTCAGCTTTCCTGTTCCCTGAGAGAACAGTATCTTGGCAGAAAAAAATCAAGGGACGAACAAGAAAGAAGTAAGGGTGTTTAGAGACTGTCAGGTGTAACACTACACACTGTTATCAGTATGCACGTAAATACTTCAGCCACTGCCTTATAGTTCTATAGTTCTTTACAGGGAAAATAATTGACATTTTACTTCTAGAACCTGGAGTAAAAATTACCCTAACAACCACCTAGCGACCAGATGAACTGGAGTCTGGGTATATTAGCTTGCTCTTTGTCATTAGCGTGGAATGGTCCTCTTTGCTTTCTGATTTATTAAACTCACACTCATTCACAGCTGTATAGAAAAGGACACCTCTGACACTGCGCTTGGACTCCTCAGCCCTCACAAGCCTTGCTTGTGCCCCTCTCTCTCTCTCTCTCTCTCTCTCGTCTCCCTTTTTGTGACTTTACACAAAGAATATTCTTGCTTTTCAAAAAGCCTTCAATCGGATCTTATAAAAACCTAGAAAGACCATAAGCGAAGACTTGGAAATCTCTGCTACCTAGCCGTCAAATCTAAAACACAGCGTTTAACATCTTTCTACCTCCATCCTACTAACAGCCTATCTGAGACCAAACACGCAACTCCCTCGTGTATAACCATCTTGGAAGAAGCGCAAGAAGACCTGTTTCTCTCTCCTGTAAGGTGTTCTAAGCCCAAAGACAAGAAGGCTGCTTTCGTAGACAGTAGGAAGAGGGTCATTCTGTTAATTTTATCACAGGCATCCCAGAAACCCGGTAGCCTTGCACACTTCAGCCCCCACTCGGAATGCCTTCTAATGCTTTATTTGCACAAGGAAGATGTTGTGGAGTGCAGGATGGATGAGTCGAGACTCTGGGGAGAGGAGAGAAATGGGTGAGGACACGGCAGGATTAAAGGCAAAGGGGGATTTCTGTTTGAGAAGGTATGTTGGCTCAGAGAAAGGTAAGAAAACTTATCCTAGCTTCATAGTGAATTGAAGAGGACAAAAGCAGGGACACGAAATTCCTGGGGTTCTTGTGACTGACACAGTACAAGTGAAGAGAAAGAGGAAGATAATATGTCTGAGGGGTAGATTCAAGATGTGAGGCAAGAGGCTTTGTGAATAAGGAGATTAAATTACAGGTCGTTATTAGTTGATGAAATGACAATAAAGGGCTGAAACAGGAGTACAATTATAGTGCAAAACTGTGTTTCCTGAGATGCACGAGGAGGGTGGTACCCCAGTGGCATCACTGTTTTTGCTTATTCGGTGGTAGTTACAGTCGCATCATATATTAACTCAAGTAATAGACTCAACAAGGATGAACACTCTTCTTAAAAAAGTCAAAGTATCAAGAGTTTTTGCTATGTTTTTACCCTGAGGGCAAAAGATTTGCGGATTCTTGAAAAGCAAAATTTCACGTGAGAATCAAGACTTTCTTGTACAGTATTTTTTTTTCAATTTGCTTTTTATCATGTGTGACAAAACTCCAGAATTAAAAAGATTAGGCATGACGTGCTATTTTACCCATATGAAATGTAATCACCTGTCTTCTGAGGTTTGCAATCTCTTCTGTGACTGAACATACATGGGAGAATATCTGTATTATGCTTCTCACCTAGAATATCCTATATCCTAGTTATCCTAGGCACTGGTCTAAACTTCTGTATGGCTGGTCACTCATGAAACTCTCAATCCTTAAAATAAAATTAGAGATTGAAATATTCTTCTGCTATCACTCAATCACTAAATGTTTTTCCTCAGACAAACCACCCTCCCCACAGTACCTCCTTATACATTAGGACATAAAAACACAAGCGCTTGCGTTTTCTAGTGGCTTGACATAAATGAGAGCACCAAGCTTCGGGTGTTGTAGCCTTTGGTCCCAGAGCCATTTATTCCAGTGTCATGACTTGCAGTATTTTCAGCAAACCAACTAAAACTGTGATAGGAATTCATGCAAATAAGCTTAAATTTTGGCTTGTCTTCAAACACTCCATTTCCATAAATATTTTATGCAGGTTTTCATGAGTCTTATTTTTGTTAAAAAAAAAAATCCAATGCATTAACCTCATTATCACCAGTGCACTATTTCAAACATAAAAGAATGAATATTGCTCACAAACTTGGGGGGGTGGGGTGGGTATAGTATTATGTTTTATTATTCAAAGTCTAGCTATCTTATCTGCCGTATTCTGGGGCTGTCGATGATAACCTGGAACTGAAAAGAACTTTGTGACCATAAGACGTTTTTACAGCACAAGGTAAATGGGGGAGGGGGGATTTTTAAGAAGAGATTTCTCTTCAAAGTATGTTTTGAGTTGTACAAAGAAAGCCACTTAGTTTTTTCTCAGAGATTTTGCTTTTCATACATTGGGCCGCTTATATTTGAGTACAAAGGAAAATATATTTTAACGTTCATTTTTAAAAAGATTGAACTTTTAAAAAAAGCTGAGCATTCTAGTGACAGATCACTACTTTTCAGTGTACTTCTATTATATGTGACTTTGTCAGAGACCTCTGCCCAACCGATAAACACTAGAATTTGGGTGCTGGCTCTTTGGAAACTTCCTAATTCATTTTGTTTCTTCTAGATATATTGATTTTTACCATGTAAAAAAATTTTCTCCAAAAATATTTTTAAAAGGCACTGGAAAACCAAAAACCACATCCAACATGATGGGATGAACTAACTGCGTGACTCTCGTTGAGCTAGTGTATCATGTAAATGATCTGTTCATAAGCTTATCTCCGCAAGGGTAGGACAACTGTGTTACCCCACCACTGACCACCTTGACACATTCCATTTCTATCACATTTTCTTTAAGATGATTGAAAAAGACCACTGTAAGTTTAGGACCAGCTGCTTCTGTTTAAGCCCAACTGTTTCAGAGCTGCAGCTACATAGCTAAGGTGTGATGTCATCTGAAGGCTGGACATAATATATTCTAACTGATCCTCAAAGTATATGCATGCCTCCCCTTCTGTGCATAATTCCCACGACAGATTATATTTTAGAGATGTGCTCCAAGACATTGTTAAAAAGTTAAAGTAACCCCCATCACCATACCACTTCCCCGTATCAACAATTACTTTGGTCCCGTTTTCTTCTGATATTTGTATGACTCTTAAAGAATTCAAGGACATACTAAATACTCATGTAAGAACGATAACATTTCTGGTTATACCTACGGAGATGCAGGCTGTCTCGATGTCCTGGACCTATGGTTCTTTCCATCCGTAAATTTCTGTTTCTATATTGGATAAATATGTGTGTATGAAGATAATATATTGATTTAATTAAAAAGCCACATGGCAAAGCAGAAATATATATAACAGAAGCTGCGGCTTCTAAGTGAAGGTTCACGGGGAAGCAGGGAACTGTGTACATAGTTAACTTATTCACACCTAGATGCATGGAAACATACACACATACACAGAGCACAGAGAAAAATGGCGTGCACTACTGGGTAAGATGGCACATGACTCTGCATGCGTAATCACAACAAGCACCAACTGCAACAATCCTTCACGAGCACGGCAGCTTGGGGGGGGTCACGTGATCACTGTGGACAATCTTTACGGTGCATCAGAAAACATCTAAGCTGGATTTTTTTAATGTTTCAAGTCCACCATGACCGGCACCCTCCACCCCCAGCAGGAGCAGCCAATGGAGATTTACTGACCTGTCTCTGCTTCGGCGAGAGGGGAAGGCGGCATTGCAGCCAGCCACCGTGCAGACGTGCATCTCTTTCAAGTGAACGTTCCTGTAGTGGAGCTTCACGCTGTAGGAGCTCTTGAAACTCTTCTTGCACACATAACAGATTTTGGGGTCTGGGCTAGAACACAGATCACCTTCCGGGGAGAACTTTTGAGGGCTGCCGTAATTCAGAGATGATGCAAAACTCTCGTGCAGGGCTGCCATGCTGGCACCCCCGCCGTTGTACAGTCCGTACTGGCTCATGTAAAACATGTCGTAAGTGGGATCTGTAAACTCTTCCTTCACCTTGATGACGTCCTGGTGAGAGGGCTCACTGTGGTTCTCGTCCGGCCTCTCACTGTTCACCAGGACTTTCTCGCTCACCTCGCCGTGCATGTGCTCATCCCCTTCCATGGATTCCTCACCCAGTTTGGGCTCCGAAGACTCAGACTCGTTCTCGTAGTCCCGCTCAGGTTCTTGGTCCTCGGAAGTCATGCTGTCGGCCCTTCGTATTTCAGTCCTTGAAATGCACCGGGTCCTGCTATGCTTAGAAAAGTCCTTCACAGACATGCCTGGACTCATTTCCTCCTGCGAGTGGCAGTGATTGTCGTGGCTCCCGTCGTTGACCACAGCTCCGCCATCATTGGGGTCGTCGTCTTCATCGTCAAACTCATCGGCAGTATCAATAATTTCCTTCTCGATCTTCACAGGCATGCTGGACTTCCTGGGCTTCTTCTTGGGCGCCAGGTCGGCACTGGGCTCATGAGTGGCCATCATCACTACTGGCGCTGCTGGCTCAGAGGGTAATGGGGGGAGCTGCTCTACGGTACCACTGGTTGGAATGATGGGACTGGTCGGGAGGGAGGTTGGAGGACTCACCATTTCCCCCGGAGTGAGTAAACTTCTATAAAACGGAGGAACTGGTTGGACAGTCTTTAGCCCAGAAAACACCAGCTGGCTAGGGAGAGGATTCTGTAAGACGGGGTCTAGTGGGGGAGTGGTAAAACCCATTGGGGGCCGGCCAGGGCTTGTGAGTGTGAGATTTGATTTTGTACTTGCTATGACGGGGGTGGCAGCCCCTGATGTGGCCCGAATTAAATCTTTGTCTCGGTTATTCCTTAGCATAGGCATGTGAAGGCGAGGGTTAGGGTTCGCACTATGACGGTTACGGCTTCGGAGGGAGCTAAAGACCATGTTGCAACCTTCGATGGTGCACCGATGTTTGATCTTCAGGTGAACAGCGTTATAATGGATTTTGAGAGTACCTTTGTCATAGAACGTCTTCCCACACGCGTTACAGAACACTCTTCCTTTCCTAGACGCTGACCCCATCCTTCTCATCCGGTGGATCCGGAATGAGCTTTTTGGGTGTTCGGTTTTGGACAGATCACTGACCGGGGCGGAATTCTGAATGGGGGACACGCAGGCTGGCTCAGTTTTGGGCTCCACATTAGTAATGCTGGTCAGGGCGTTTCTATTGGGCGTCTGGTCGTTCTTGTAGGGTGTGGGAGACACTTCAGATTCACTGCTCTCGTTATATTCATTCTGGGTCGAAAGGCTGGGTTCCCGCAGCCTCAGTCCTGGTTGCTCTAACAGCAGCCCATTCGGAGGCAATCCTAGCAGCGGGGCTGAGACCGGGTTTATGTACTGGAATGGCAGCAGGAAGGCGAGGCTGTTGGGGATGTTTTCAAAGTGATGAATGCTGGAAGGGTTGCTGTTCTCTAGATGGGCAAGGAGGCTGGGACTCCTGGTGCGATTATTACTCTCAATGAAAGTTCTGATGTCTGAGTCTGTCTTTGAAGACGGTACAGCTACGGCCTGCCCCTCTTTCTCCTGAATGGCCATCAGCTCCACAATGGATTTGGTTTCTCCGAACCGCAGAAACTGCTGAAGGGTGATGATTTCCTCTTCTCGAGACATGATGGCCCAGCGGTCCAGCACCTTGCCGGCAGCATCCTGGAGGCCACATCAAAGAAATGACAAAGACAAACACAAAAACTTATTGACTGTGCATGACTATTCAGTGCAACCGAAGGTGCTCTGTCTGCTCATGGAACACCGAGAGCAGAAAACAACATGCAAGCACGGTTAATACAAGTCGATCCACAAAGCATACTTTTCTGCCATGCCAATGTAGTCATTAGAGTCACAGTTAGAGAAACAGATTGAGTTGAATAATGTCAAAGCAAACAAAACGTAGACCACTGGGGCTCTGTGATCTAAAATGCCTACACTACTGCTACTTTAACAACAATGGCCTATAGACTATGCAAGTATCTAGCATATATTAGTACAAGATGTGACCTCTTGCTGTGCAACCCAGTGTATGCCCCCCCCCCCAAAAAAAAAGGTACCTTAATCCTTATCAAACAGTGACACCATAGGAAGGAATTGAGTACATTTTTCACATTTTATTTCTCGAGCACAGCACTGGATTCAATGATGTAAATTCCTTTAAATAGGAGCTATTATGTGAATTTCTGCATCAAAAGGATGAACAAAGTAGCATTACCTCCCATACCCCCATTGCTATGCTGTATTTCCCCCCCTTTTTAATGGCTATATTTTCGTGTCATTTACCAGTAGCCTATTTCATAAGGTAGAGTAGGGAAAAACAGTAATTGCACTTTTCTGAAAATTGATTGTAATCCTATGACTCAAAGTTTGAGTTAGACAGCGTATTTGACTTTTTATGATCTTGTTATAAATGACAGCTATACATATCTAGAAAGTAAACATGTGATGGATTTAGATCGAATAAATGTGTAAAAATGTTGTCTCTCAACATTCTCCTCTGATAGCAGAGGGGAGTCCACAGAGACTACACATCAGTAATCACCAGACTATGTGTTGTTAAATATACATTAAAAAGCATTTCACACTTTCATTTTTGCTAGTAACTATGAGATACGCCTGGAGGTCGGGCTTAAAAATCCTGCAGTATAATGTCAGGCAATCCATTTCAGTATGGATTGAGAAAAATCTATTCAAACACTTAAATAATGACTCCGTCATCTTCTAGGGCACAGCTTCTTCCCACCAGTACACGATATTCGGCAACCCTCTGTGAACAGCACTTGCTCCAACCCTTGACTGTCACTTTACAGAAGCATAAAATCATCTTAAACAACAAGACAAGAGCCTTATTAATTACAAAGAGGAAAATCATAACATTATAATGGAGAAACCTAGCAGACATCACCCTAACCAAGTTGGCCAAGAAACATTACCCGGTGATAAGGAACATCACGGACCTTGTGTGAGATAGATACATATGTGTATATATTTATACTGAGAAGGGCACACTGCTGCTTCCGTGGCATGCTTGCCCAAAAATTTATACCTCAATCTAATTATGAGAAAACATCAGATTAACCAAAACTAAAAGGCATCCTGCAAAACAGTCGCAAGTATTCGTCAACGTGTAAATGTCGGGAAAGATTTTTAAAAACTCAAAGACCTAAGATTGGTTACGGATTGGAGGAGACTAAGAAGACAGGACAAATAAATGCGAGATTCTAGGGATCCTAGACCAGAAAAAGAACACTAGTGGGAAAACTGGTAAATCTGCAATAAAGTCTCTAGTTAACAGCATGGTATCAATCCTAATTTCTTGGTTTCAACAACCGTACTATGCTCACGTAAGATGTTACGTCAGGGGAAACAGGATAAAGGGAACTGTACTATTTTTGCAACGGAGAATTCTCTCTTGTAGACCGTTCTACTCAGCCTTGCAACATGAAATTCTCTCTGGACCACAATCGTATGGTCTGAATCATGACACCTAAAATTTGATAAAAAGGCAATACTTGTCATTTATTTAAATTACTTAAAAAAGAAGCTCTAATAGTTACATGGTATTCCGTATAAGGCTCATTGCTAGCATTCTATCATTTTATATGTGTGTGGGTGTCCAGTCCTACATAAAGTCAAATACAGATGTCCCTCCCTCATCTTGCAGGAGAAATTAGCCTTCAGATCAAACACTCTCAGACAGCTGCCTGTTCACATTAGTCGTACAAATGATGTGTATACACGGTGACCCTGGATGATCCTGGAGTCGGGCAGTAGCCATTTTTTAAAAAGTTATCGCTCACAGCAACGGGTCTCCCTTCCATTCTTTTTTTGGGGCAGGGAAGTAAAGGAGAGTGTTGATGTTGTAAATAAGCAGACAAATACATTGTGATTTTGCAGAGATTATCTCATTTGAGCGTCGTAATAGCTTCCAGAGCTCAGCAAATGTGTAACAGATGAGACACCGGAGGTGAGATGGCTTAAGGTTGCGAAGATGCTAACTGGGGCCCAGGACTTGAACCCAGAAATTCTGACTCCAAGTTTGCTGAGGTAAGTGACTGTCATCCATGAGGCCATTTTGCAGGTGGGCACACTGAGTCTGTGATGACAAGGAGCAGGGCCTCTCCTGAACAAGGCTGGTCTCCAGAGCGCTGTAATGTCCTCTTCTACACTATTTTTCTTTTACCATCAAATCCATTTTCTTGATTGTCCTTTTATGGAGGCTTTCACTATGGAAACCCAATCTGAGCAAGGTACAGCCATTTCTTCCTCAGGTTCTTCCCAGGTAGCCTGCACCTAAATCTGCATATCGATAATGTACTTACAGAGCTGGCAGCCTCCGGTATTAAAACAGGCCTTAGAAACCATAGCAACTGATTAAACCCACCTGAGGCATCTCCTTTCAATCACCCTCCTGTCTTCCCTCCCCTAACGGTACACAGCAGTCCCATATGGTTTCTCTTTTCTCCTGGCCTGCCACAATGCCTGCTATTTCTAAATCTACTGCCTTTCAGACTCTTTTTTAGGCCTGAGTGGCTGTCTCCACTAAAAAGGAGACTGTTATGTTAAAGCACTTACTTCTGGTGGAAGAGGTCCAGGCTACTTCGCTGGTAGCCTGAATGATAAAAGAGAAGCTTCATTTATCGTGGTAACAGAAGCATCCATTTATATTTACACAGAAGGACAACACAGTCTCTTTGTAAACGAATGTGCTTGGGGACGGGACAGATACCTACACTGCATGCTCCCAACTGGAGTCCTCCTGACAGGGTAACCTCTGGATCCAGGCAATGTGAGATGCCACCAAAGTTCTTTCCAAAGAAGCCATCATTCATCAAGATGCTCTAAGACCATCACGTTCACAAATAGAGAAACTGCAGCAAGAGACAATGTTGACTTTCTCATGCAACAGAATGGGTCTGAAAGCTCAACGCTAGAAATGAACATCACTTTTAGCATATCCTCGGATTAAACTGGTTGAAGGGAAGAAATCATCAAAGGGAAAAAAGAGAGGCCAAGGTTCTTTTTTTCCTGAAGATCTTTGTGACAGAAATAAGCACGATGTGGTGCAGTGATTCTCAAACAGTGGCTTAAGACTCCTCTGTTCAGACAAGACTTTCCATGAGTGGTCCACATGCTATTCAAAAAGGGCTAGTCTGAGGGCTATTATTTTCCTAAAACCAGTCTGCAGGTAATTGAGAGCAACCATTTGGAAACCTTCGGGACAATGGGACACTGCTGTAACAACTGAAGGCATGATCACTTCTTTTCAAAGTAATTTTATTTTATTTTATTGAACTTAAGTGTTGTTGGCTTAAGAGTGATTGGGGGAGAAACTGGTCCTTCCTCACAGATAGCTTGAGAAGTAGAGATCTATAATCTAGGCCCCCTTATCATGTCAAATACACTTTACCAGAGTAATTAAGAGCCATAAAAAGAATTAGGTATTATCACAGAATAAATATTAATAAAACAGAAATTCAGTCTGTTAGGCCACTAGGAACATCCTGACTACTGACCAACTCACACCGGGATGCTGGTCTCGTGCATGAATGATAATCACATCAGAGTGCGTAACTAGATTCTTGTCCTTCCCATTCGATTCTGTAGTTGGTGAGTCAGTTACCTTAGGCTTCCCCATTTGTAACCAGCGTTCAGTGACCTTGAACCCTCTGCATTGGGGGTTATTATTTATGAAATGAGGATAATAAGATTTACCCTGTTAAGTGAAATGCAAGGTATTAGGATAAGTATTGATTTCCTATGACACTCACTGGCTATCCTATTAATTAAAAGATGAGTAATACCAAATAATCGAGACTTAGAAACCAGTTTTACTGGGTTCAGAAAAAGTATACAACACTTAAAATATTTACGTCTAAGCATTTTAAATGAAAAGACTTCCTTTTATTATTCACTGGACTGGTGATCATATCACTCAGTAGAAATCTGGCACCCAGTTCTGCATGGCTCCAGAGTGATTTTCTAAAATCTTTCTTGCAGTAGGATCAACGATCATGGTTTCAGTGGTTTTATTTGAGCCCTTTCTTCATATCAAAGCACCTTATAGGATGCATAGTTTTAAAACCAAAGTCAAATAAGACTGCTTGGTTTTTCTTATTTGAGGGAAAGGGAGAGTAGAGAAGGAAAGATGTAAAGAGACTGAAGAGAGACCAGATAAGAGGCTTTGGGATCAGTAGACTGTCAGGTGACCTCAAGCCCAGAGAATCCCCAGCCCAAGAAGGAACCCATCTGTGTTCACAGCAGGCCACTGGCATGCCAGAGCACGGAGGGGAACACTGCCTCTCTTTCCATGTGTGGAAATGAGAGAGGAACACTGAACGTAGCAGAGATCTAGGGCTTCTTTGCTCTAGCAGTATTCTAATTATTAAGAAATCAGCCAATAGTTTAAGTCTCAAAGACAGGTGCAGAATAGTTTAATTTTCTACTCTATTTAACGAACTTCTCGTCAGTCAAATTTAAGGCACAATTTAAAGAAAAAATCCAAAAACGATTCGCTAAAAACTAAAAACATTTCCCCTTTGATCTAATTTTAAAGCTTTTAATGAAATGTGGACCACCTAAAACAAAATCAGAGGTTTATGAGATGTAGTTTTTGATTTCATGTCTACATTTGCAGTGTACTATCTTAAGGAATTATT